TGTAATTTTGATTTGCCAACGTATGTGACATGACGATTGGAAAAACGATGGTCAAAAAAAAAAAAAAAAAAAAAAAAAAAAAATTTATAAAAAAAAAAAAAAAAAAGAAGATTCACATTTCGAATAGAATTAAAAAGTAGTGACTTAACTTCGTCAAGTCAGGAAAATGATCATTTGCAAATCACAAAGAAATTCGCGCATTTGTAGTAATACATATATTTTTTTATAACAGTCATAATGGTCGAAAATAGAGGAAGTTGAAGCACGAGAGTTCACATGGTGTGCGAACGTTTGTAAAATCTATCCATCGCTTGTGAATCAGAGTTTCGTTAAAATTAGAGCCAGCAGAGGCAAGAATCCAGAGGGACGTTGGCCGCCGGGGTCAAATAATTTTAGTAAAAATTTCTCTTCTCCCAAAAATATCGTCGGCACAGAGGCAGGCCTAACCTTGAGAATCCGAGCACCAATGAACTCTTAAATCGTCCATCCTAATCTTAATTCGAAAACATCAAGGCGCAGATCATCATAACATTTTCCTTCTTCTTATTAGAAAAGATTCTTTTTCTTTTCTAAAAAAAAAAATTACTAAAGTATTTCATGCAAATTTCACTATTAACTTATGTCTCCTTTTTGCAATTTAAGATATACGCAGTTTGTTTATTCACCTGACAATTAATTTGCTTAATAATCATTGCTGTTATTTTAGATATATTTGTTGAATTAAAAATTCAAACTTCTAGAAAAAGTTTTAAAAATTGAAAGCACATAGACTGAATAGATTATGTATACACGTGTCACTGCAAACCACGTATATGTGAAATTGTTTGGTAAAATTTTACGTACGATGTGTAAGAAGTTAATATGATCTGCGTGTGGATAATTAAGCTAAACAAGTTTTAACGTGACCTTTTAATTCAATTGAGATTAATTCCTTGTTTCATGTACGCCTATATGTCCATAAAACTGCAGTGGGAGTAGTTGTGTTGAAAATAAACTGGGAAAATTAAGTAAAAATGGACATTAATATTTGAAAAAATGATAATATTACACATAACTATAAGCTTGTGTCGACAATAAACTGGGAAAATTAAGTAAAAATGGACGTTAATATTAAAAAAAAATGATAATATTACACATAACTATAAGCTTGTGTTGAAAATAAACTGGGAAAATTAAGTAAAAATGGACATTAATATTAAAAAAAATGATAATATTACACATAACTATAAGCTTGTGTTGAAAATAAACTGGGAAAATTAAGTAAAAATGAACGTTAATATTAAAAAAAATGATAATATTACACATAACTATAAGCTTATGTGCGATTTAATGTGTTATGTAAGTAAACGATATAAGTGAGAGTTGGAAAAGTTCTCAAATATCAATTTTCTATAAAAATATTTTCTGCACGTGACAATTCTATCCATCGCAAATTCTCAATTGTTTAAGTGTTTCAAACTACACGACAAATGATGCAGTTGAATGTATGTATATAATTGTTGTTTTCAATCTGATGCACGTATATTCATTTCTCACGGTTGCATTAACTGGATTTATACACGTCGATCAATGTACACTGTGAATATTAATGAGTGTTTTGCTTGTGTTTTCAAAGACGTGATTCATTTTTATACCGATCATATCACCTTCAACGATTATCGATTCCGGCACTTCATTGATGTTCACTCGCCGATAAAATAATCGCATACTTGCAATACTGTACGATGGTATTCTCCTTAATTCATGCTAATTTTAACAAAAGAGTAAACGAGTCAGATTTTAAAAAAAAAAATTGCAAACTAGTTAAAAATCACGTTTAATTTACTCGATTTCTTTTACGAGAGAAAAGAAAAAAATAATTGCACATGAATTTCTTTTCTGTTACGACTTTATGAAAATTGATAACAAAGGAAATAATTTTTCTTCGCTTACTTTTCTTTTTCAGAAACGTGGACCGAAGAATAACCAAAGTCGCTGCTAATTTTTAACCTAAGATTAAAGACAAAAATCGAGCTCGTAAATATAACTGATTCGATGCTTCACAAAGAAATATTTCGACATTTTTCTTCGTAGATATATGCAACGAACGTGGCCTCGAAGTCCGTTGCGGTATAGAACATATTGTCTCCCGTTATTATGTATCTTGTAATCTCGAGCAACCTATTACAGTAAATGGCAAAAAGGTGCGTGAATTTGTATGATAAAAACACGCGTTACAATATGGCGAACAGAATGGAAGGAAAAAAAAAATGGTAAGAAAATAAATGGAATAATTGTATTCACAATGGAGAAAAACAAACCTGAAAACTGAAACCTGCGAACAGTTGATAATTATTATCTGGAGATAGAAATTTTGGCTTTGAGTTGAAAAAAAGCTTTTCAGAAGCACCGTGAACCAACCAAAAATGTGTGCTAAAATTTAATATATCTAATGTGACAATGAGAAACGTGTAGAATATTCAGAAAGAATATTGAAAAGGAAATTTCAAAGAACGAAAATCGAATGAAGAACAACATTTTTCGTTTGCAGAAATTCGTGTGCGTACAAAGCCACATTACACAATCAGGGATCAAACCGACAAGGACTAGGAGTTACGTTGTAAAAATTAGCCTATTTTCGTCCGTTACAATAAAATGTACAACACAATGAAATATTATCATTTTGAATAGAGTAGACTTTTTTGTTGGATTTTCGTGTATTTACTCTTCTTTTCGCTATCGCGTTCTGTCAATGACCATTCAGTCACACAGAGAAAAAGCAGCTTCACGTAACAGTTATGGCACTACAATTGGCACACTCGCCTTGAATTCTGCACCTTTAGATAAAAAGACTGTTCAATAAACTCCTATTTTGTTTTTGCACCGATTGTATTATTAAACGTTTTATAAGAACGGAACTCAGCTTTATCCTTGTTTGAAATTTCTACAGAAAGAAATGCTAATTTTATTTCAAATACAATTTAAATACAATTTTTACTCGATTTTAATCACAGAGTGAGATCCTTCATTCTGCTAAATTTTTAATGTTTCGCAGGAAATAGCAACAGAAGAATAACAATCCAACAGAACGTAAGGATAGCTTGAATTAAAATGTCAATCACGGTCGCGGCACATATTTACGTGTTTACAAAGA